TTAGGTTTCTATTGAGGTATAGGATTTTGAGCAGTAGTGTGATCTATTTTATATCTTCATCATGTTAGCCACAGAACTGAGGGCATATCAAAGAAAAGCAAGGTTGGATCCAAAGAGACCAATCAGGAGCTCTTGTGATAGTCCATACGATGATGGTTGGCAGAAGTGGAGATAGTGAGAAGTAATCATATTTTAAAGGCAGAGTGCATAGATTTTGCTGAGGAATTACATATGGGCTATTAAAGAAAGAAAAGAGATTAGTACCTTGTCAAAATTTTGGGCCTGAGGAACAAGAAGATGGGAGTTGTCATTACAGAGATGGGAGGATTAAAGAAGACCAGGTGTGAGAAAGAAGAAGGAGAATTCAATCTTGGCTATGTGAGTCATGGGATCCTCACTAGACATCTTCACAGAGATGTCAGTGAAGGACTTGGGGTTGAGATCAATGCAGAGTTAAGTGATTACCAGTAGCTATTATCTACTGAATTAGCACTTTGTGGCGGGCACCGCTTTAAGTGTTTTACATATGTGTTCTCATTTAATCCTCATAATAGCCTTAAATTATTATGGCAGTTTTACAGGAGAGGAAATTGAGACCTAGGCTTAAATGAATTGCTCAAAGACACACAGTTAAGGTTATGTTTACCTTACTCCAGTTTTTATCAAGTTTTATATTACCAAGAGGGATATGGATAAGAAGCAATAAAAATGTCCAGGCATAGGGAACAACATATGCAAAGTAGAGGGGCCATAGGGAGCATGACATCTTCAGGAGACCTGAAAGCACAGAGACTCAGTCAAATAATCAGCTTCCAGCGAACTCATGCTCTTGTGGTACATTACAGTTTGGACCTGTTTTCTCATATTAATCTCTGTAAGGAAGGAAACTGTTTTTATTATCAGTATTCAATGAATAGGGAAGTAGACTTACAGAATGGAGTTCACAAATTTAGTGAATGATAAACTAAGGTTTGAACTTGGACTCTTTAGCCAAAATGTAAAATAATTTTTATGTTTCTGATTGTTTAAAGTCTTACCATGTACCCATTTAGGAGGTGAGAAAATATACATGAGAATACATATATTTTGATATTGAAAATTGGAAAAAAATTACAAGATAGAAATGAGTGATCTGGAAGATAATAAAAATAATAGCTGTCATTTTGGAGCACTTGGGATGTGCCAAACACTGAACTGGGATCTCTACATTCATTTACTAAATTTGATCTCACAAAAGTTGGAAAGGAGATTCTATTAGGATCTTAATTTTAGAATGAAGGCATTGACGCTGAGAGAGAATAAAGCAACTTGCTATAGTTGCTTCATCATACAGCCAGGAGGTAGCAGAGTCAAGACATGAACCAAGGCTGTCCGAAATCTGAGTTCAGACTCCTAACGGGCTGGTCAGCAGCCACTCTCCCTGGGTAGTACTTCATTTTTGTTGTTGTTTTTATCAAGTCAGCAGTGCAATTAACAACCGCAAGGAGCTTCTCACGAGTGAGGAATTTGTGTTCAGGGTGGATTTGTGTTCATCCACCCTGAACGGCTTTTCACTCTAGTTTTGCACAGGCTTTTATCACAGCTTAAGACAGCAGATGGCTCTCTTGCGTTTTCTTTCTATTACCTCTATCTGTAAACAACTCAACAGTGTTGTGGGAAGGTAAAAGGGAAACGCAGAGATTAAGCTAAAAAAAAAAAAAAAAAGAAAAAAGAAAAAAAAAGACCTTGATTATCCCATGCTGCCCCCACTCCAAGCTCCTTTAACAACAGGAAATCACATAAAATAGAAACGACTGCTCTAAGCTTGTGAAATTCACCGTCTGAATAGAAGCCCTGAGACTGAGGAGTCCGCTGTTTTAGGCGCTGCACCAGGTGGTCGGAATGCATCAGGAAAGAAAGAGTATTTCTCCGTTATCAAAAAGCTGAAAGGCTTTGTGCTCCAAGGTGTGTGTTATTAATGTCAGTTAAACTGTGGGGATTAATTTCCTTTCCATCTCAGGGGTGGGGGTGGGGAGGGGGGTGGGGAAGAAAAATGGCAGAAAGCGCTCTTTAGGGAGGACAATATCAGAGACTGAGGACAAAGCTCCTACTCTGGGGGGAACTTGCTTCTGCTTTGAGAGCTGTGGCTGAGGCGGGATCCCTGTCCGTGGTGCTGAATCAGAGCCTCGTCTGTAGGTTGCTGGGACAGTAAAGGAGCCCAAATCCCGATTGGGGAAAAGACTGCAATGTAAGAAAATGCCTGGAAATAAAATAATTAAAACAGCTATAATAGTACGAAGCTTAATCTAACTCTGTTCAATTAATATAATAGCCACATATAAAGACAAAAAAGAAAAACCTTGCAAAGCAGACTGGGATATATTGATTGAGGGAGTTGTACTATATTTAACAGGCCAATATGCTTAACATTTTGCTTATTAGAAAAACCCACCAGTGGCTTTAGGTAAATATGTTTGCTTTAATTGTAAAGTCATTTGAGTATTCCAAGCCATAACATCCTAAATGTCCAAATGGCCTGTCTTCAATAATGGAAGGCAGGAGTAGCTACTCTTCATGTTCAGTTTGGACTTATTTTAGTGGATTTTTAAAAAGACATACTTTGGTAGCCTTTTATTAGATGTATCCATCTCTGCAGATGGCTTTCCTTTTTAAGCAGGGGCATGACCATACAACTTTAATACATAATTAGTAAAAATGTAAGAACAAAGATATGTAAAACAGAAAATAAAGTGATAGAGATAGAGCAAAATAGCTAATACATCCCTTTCCCTCATTTTTACTATCTCATGGTGATTAGGGATTATAAATTACTGGCAAAATTACTCTTTCTTTCTTCTTTCTTTCTTCCTTTCTTCCTTTCTTTCTTTCTTTCTTTCTTTCTTTCTTTCTTTCTTTCTTTCTTTCTTCTTCTTCTTCTTCTTCTTCTTCTTCTTCTTCTTCTTCTTTTTGGTTAATCCACGCTGAGGATATTTTTTTCATTGATTTTTGGAGTATGGAAGGGGGGGAGGGAGGGAGAGAGAGAGAGAGAGAGAGAGAGAGAGAGAGAGAGAGAGAGAGAGAGAGAGAGAGAGAGAGAGAGAGAAAAGAGAGCCATCCATGGATTGCCTTCCGCAGGCACCCTGACCAGGACCAGAGGTGGAACCTGAAACCCAGGTATTGTCCTTGATGGGATATTGATCCTATGCCCCTTTTGGTGCTTAGGCCTATCCTCTATCCACTTAGCCACACAGGCCAGAGCCCTATTCCTTTTAATATTGTGGTTATTTTGTAGATATAACATAACAAGATAGGGAAAATAAGCTAACAGAGTATGTTCTTTAATGTTAAATATGATATACACTGTCCTGACTGCTTTGGACCCAAATCTACATGTACTCCCTTTTCATTAAATTATCTTCCCCAAAGGAGACTTGTTAGCAACAATGGAGTGAATAGAACAAATACCAGCTCAGCAGTAATTGCTTGCATGGAGAGAATGTGGGAAAGTTCTGTAGAGCAGAAGGTGTCTAGCCTCTCTGTAATCAGCTGTTGGCTGAATTTCTTTCATTGGCCTGGTTGCAAGTCCTTGTAGTACTTTGCTGCTTATTCCTGAAACAAAGAGAAAGTGTGTGTTGGTTCAAAACTGCTCCCTGGGTTGCTTTTAGATGGTGCCTCTTCACTCCAGCTCTAAAGCAGTTACCAGAGAATTGATTGCTACAAGTCTCTCATTACCAAATGAGTCTTCTTTCCTCCATTCTTCACTCTGGACTGTGAGAAGTCTAGTTTGGCATTTCTTTTCTCTATCTCCCTGTAATGATAAGCAAAGCAGCTAAGAGGGAAGAGGAAAAGGTAAGAAGCCACACTAGCAACAGCTACACTAGGTCTGTCACTCAGAGTGTATCCTAGAAACCATGGATCTGTATCATCCAGGCGTGAAGTGTTTTCTTTTTTCTTTTTTCCCCTCGAACCTCCTTTCCTAGGGTGCCTTCCACTTGATCCCTTCCTCGAGGGCCTTCAAATTTTCAGTTATCCAAGACCGAACACTGTCAGGGACACAGACAGGGACTGGAGGGGAAGCAGCACTGTTGTGCATGAATTTCAGACACAGTCCTTATGGCTTTGCCCGCTGACAGAGTTTCTTTACCCAGGGACACAAAGTCGGGAGCTCAGTTTGGACTGCCCTTCAGTCTGGTGGCTTTTTGTCATTGGAATACTGTGACATGCTCCCCCACCCTTAATATTTCTGTGACTTCTTCAATTTTCCTTAGGCCGTTATCCTCGCCAGCTGCTGTTTTGTAGCAACCACAGGGGGCTGTGTCTCTTCCTCTAAGTGCCAGAGAGCAAATTTGGAAAGGGGTCTTCCCAAGTCACTTTGCCACATCTTCTCACCTTCCCCTCCTCCCTCCTTTTTGCCCCGTGTTGCCTTTTCAAAATGACAAGCCTACCCTTCCTGGCAGCAGAAGGGAGAGTGCAGCAAGTTTGGGCGGACTAGGTGAAGACTGGAGGCGCCTCCCTCTTCAGGACACACTCTCCTCCCTCCCAGCCTCTCCACTTCCTCCTCCTCCTTCCCTGGGTGGGGTGGCTTTGGTGCCACAGGGATTACTGGGGAGGGCGGAAACCACCTCACCCTTCAACCGAAGCTCAGAGTTTCTGTGAACCGGGAGATCCAGCAGCCCCAGCTAGGCCACAGACGCCTCGGAAACCTATGAGTTTGATCTAAGAAAAAGCGCGGCGATATTCCTTCAGTTCCATCTGCTTTGGCTCTACCTCTTAGCCCCACATCTCTTGTAGTCCATTTGAGCTGTCTTTATCGTTAATAATATTTTTAAATAGTATTCTACATGCACACTTTTTTTTTCTTCCTGAAGAGAGGAGGGGGACGTCAGGTGGGGGTAGTGGATGGCAGTGAAGCGCTTTGATGAGCGATCTCCAAGGAGAAGATTGCTTTCTCCAGATGCTGATTTTCAAAGCACTTGACAATCACCAGCAGAACCCCAGAACGGGCGGCGGCGGCTGCGCCGGCGGCGGCACCGGACGCGGGGCAGCTCCAGCCAGAAGCTGAGTCCCACTCAACGCGCACAGATCAGACGGACTCGCCGGGTCCCGGCCGGGACCTGCCTCCATCCAGTGCCCTGGAAGAAGGCGGCGAGTCCCACCGCCTGCCGAGAAGGTGGGCAGGGCAAAAAGGCAGCGCGAGTGGCGGTGGCGGTCCCCGAGAGGGCTCCAGCGTTGTGTGGTGACCGCGGCGGCCGCAACCCCAAACCCACTCCCAGCTCCAACGCGGCCAGAAACCTGCGGACGGACCTCGGGCTCTTAGGGCTCGCCCCGCCGCGCCCAGGGCGCATCTGCGCACCTGGCCCCGCGACCGGGTGGAGAGGACCATGGGTCCCAGTCGGGACTGAGCGCCCCTACGCCGCTCCCCAACCCCTCCGGCTTCCCCCAGCCGCCTCCCCGAGGGCGAGCCGGGGTCCGCGCCGCCTCTCCCCTCTCCCGTGCCCCCAGCTCCCTTTCCCTCTGTCCTCCACCTCACCCGGACCCATCCCCGAGCCACCATGGCTGCGGCCATCGCCAGCGGCTTGATCCGCCAGAAGCGGCAGGCTCGGGAGCAGCACTGGGACCGGCCGTCTGCCAGCAGGAGGCGGAGCAGCCCCAGCAAGAACCGCGGGCTCTGCAATGGCAACCTGGTGGATATTTTTTCCAAAGTACGCATCTTCGGTCTCAAGAAGCGCAGGTTGCGGCGCCAAGGTCTGTGTGGGTCACTGTTGGGTGGTGCACCCTCGGATCTCCCCATCTCCCCGCCTGCATGGACCTCTCGGGGCTTCCCCTTTCCTCCATTAGCCTCCCAGTCTCCCCCACCTCCCCGAGTCTCCCTGACCAGCGCTCTGAGCGCCTTCTGACCACGGGAGCTGGGAACGTGCTCCCAGGCAACCTGTAGCCCCTGAAAACTCAACCCCGCCAGGAGCCGGCAAGTTGGCCCGCTGTCTCTTGAGTCTCCTTCGAGCAGGGTTCCAGAGAAAATCTCGCTACTCGGAGGGGCTTGGTTTCCCCCCGGGGATGGAGTCTGACTCCCGAACCCCGGGCAAAGATCTCTGCAACCCCTCGGGGTCGCGCTGGCTGCTTCCATTCGGATTGGAGGTGTCAGGAATTCTGTGTGTGTCTGACCTCAGTCGGTTCCCCAGGATGTCTGGAAACCTCCTTGGCTTCTAGACCGGCATGAAATGTGGTGAGCCCCACAGTGCCCTCCGCAGGGGCTGGTGTAGGAGAAGTGTGTGAAGGGTGTATGTGTGTGAACTAAGGGCTAGTTCAGTGGAGATTTAGGGAAGGCTGCCTAACCTGCGGCACTGAGCACTCCCAAGCCCCTGAGTCACATCTTCCGAGAGGGGCGCAGACTAAGGGAGAATGAGTCTTAATTAGCGGATTGGCGAAGTACACATCCCCCATATGTATCAATTTTAATTCAAGGACTTGCGAATTACGTGAGGCAAACCAAGCAGTTACTACATCACAGATGACTACTGTAGCTGCCATACTACGCCTTAAAAAAGATAGAAGGAACTAGTGCCCAGCATGACCTTCTTTTGCTACCTTTGAAATGTCAGGGTCTGAGATAGCAACTCACTGAGGAGCCAGAGCCCGGCGGCTTTTGTTCATCTATGCCTGTCTCCACATCCAGTTGCTAAGGGCGGTTGCTTTGAGAGCATGTGCGGTGTTCTGGGGGAGAAATGGGGATTGCTTGCTTTTCATAACTATGGGCTTGTCAGGAAACATCAAAGGATATATTTACGTTAATAGGAGTATATGTTTGCCCAGCACATTGTATTCTCAGTTCCCAGCTGTATTTGTTTTAAATGTCCTGTTGTTCCAAAGACAGGAGAGAGAAGCATATACTATACATGTGAATCTAGGTGAGTGTTCCACACATTTACAGATTTATGACCAAAAGTTTTAATGCTCCTTTTTTTTTAAAGGCTGAGCTAAATATTTTTCAAGGACAATACCTTATTGTTACAATAAGAAATTGGAGGTTACTTGTTCTTAGAATCAAGCTTAAAAAAATTTGAGAAATATAACAGTGGCCGTTTTAAGGGAGATAAAATTATATGAATGTAATAATTATATAAATATGACTTTTAAAAATAAAAAATTAATAAATATAATACTTTTAGATGAAGTTTTTGGGGACAATATTTTTAGAACAGTGTAGAAGCTATTAAGAAAAATGGATTTTAATTTTCCACTTTAGCTTAGAGCTTTATCTAAAAAACTTTGTATTGGAAGACCCACTTGACTATTTTAAATATTTTTGATGCATGGAGGGTCACATTATCGTGGCTTAAAGTGTTTGCTTCTCCCCTTATTTCATCAGATTATCTTTTAGAACACAGTTCTCAGCAGGTAGAGCTACAAATTTGCCATCTACTTGAAGTAAACATATTCCCTTCTAGATAAGATTATTTTAATATAAACTGATTAAAACTTACTGTGTGTTTCTTTAAATACACAACCAGTAGATTATTTTATAAATAGATACAGTAAATGTTTTGTGTCATTGGGTGATGGAGGGTTTCTTTTACACTTTAGAGTTTTAAGATGGGATTATACTTTTTTTTCTCAGATATGGAAAGACATCTGAGCTCCCCAGTAGTCTGTTTCACCATTTTAGCCATGCCTGCTTTCTTGGTATTCATGAGTTAAAAGTGATATACATGCCTCAATGATCTGTAGGAAAAATATACTTGAGGTCACTTTTGCTATCTTATTTTTTATGGGAGCATGGAAAAGAAGATAGGTAGAAGGAAGTTTTGTCAGAACCTCTTTTTTTATCTTCTTTATATTTCTTATATATAAACAAATATATCCGTTAGTGAAGAAAAATATAGTTATATCTCGAGTATTGGAAATAAATTATTTTCTTATTTTTAATTTAAGCAAAATAAATATTAAAAGTTTATAGTATGTAAATTATATATTAATATACTTATATGAATTCATATTATATATAACTATATATAATTATTTCAATGTTTTATTAAACACTCTTGGAAATATTTTTTTTCAAATTTACCTTTCCCCCCCAATACTCATTCTTTGCATAGATATCACCCAAGGAAATTTAAAAAATCTGTTTTGTAAATTTAAAGATACAATTTTTAGGTGTGACAACACTGTATATCTTCATATTTGAAAATCATTAATTTGACAAATAGTTATTGAATCTTTATAATATGTCAGGTCTGTTTCAGGTATTAATGTGTAAAATAGTGAATAGAACAGATGAAGTTCCTTCCATCATGGAGCTTACAAATATGGGGTAGAAAGTTATTGCAACTGGAAATGAAGAAACCAATAGTTCTGATTAAGTTAGGATAGGTCACACTGAGAGCTACAGGTTGAGGGCTGATCTCTGAGATGGATACAAAGATTTCAAGAGTAATGTGTGTATATGTGTGAAGACCATGATGTGGCAAAAATCCTAGCCTGTTAGGAGAAGCAAAGGAGGTGTGAAAACTAAGTACGCTTTCATCTTATATCATAGTCCATTTTGGCTGCATTTTATATTTTGTCTGAAGTTTACATTTTGACACGCAAATACAAATACATTTGACAGTTTGACTAATGGAATAAAGAATAAGTTCTTATTTTGTGGGTTTGGGAAGGGTAATATACATTTCTTAAGTATAGAGTTTTTCTTTTCTTATTTTTAATGCTCCTTTAAATAGTAGTTAAATCAATGTGAACAGTATGACATATTCACTTATGCCCTTTTGGGTGATCCTATCCCCCACTCTAATCACTTCCAACCCCTATAAAAGTGATTTTTGTACCAGTTGCATACCAGTTGTACCATTTTGTATTTTATGAAGGACAGGAATTTGCAAGGTGTCATTTTGTGGTTGTGTGGGTTCCATGACTCTATCCCACTTTTCCAGATTCATATCCCTCTATCCTTCCCCGCCCTATTTGGTCCAAGCACCATTCAGATTCCCCCAATTAGCCACATGATTGCAAATCCCTGTGCTTCTGTTCGTGCTTTATTTTGTGCATAGAATCTTCTGTCTTCCATCTTCACCTATTGAAATTATCCAGATTTCTTAAAACTTGGAGAAAATGCCATCTCCTCTGAGAAGTATTTGCTCATTGAAGATAAGTAAAAATAATACTCCTGTGGCATTTTATACCTCACTAATGCTGTTTAACCCAGCACATATTTTCATAGGTTGTAGTTAGGAGCAAGTCTATGTTGCCTGCACTTTATAGACTCTCAAATTGCCGGGGTCCAACCCCAGCAGGTCCAGGGGTTCCCAAAGGCGTAGACGGAGTCAGCGAAGAAGGAAGGACACGGAGACAGTGTTCAGTTGATCAGCAGCCTAGCCAGGATCTCCAGCCAGGATCTCCAGCCAAGTTCTGGTCTGGATCTCCAGAGAGGTTCTGCTGTTTATTGTCTTGTTACATCCGTATTTATACCAGTTGATTTTAATCCTGTCAATTTCTATTACAAAGGTTAGGGCATTTCTTATCTCCATTCCAGGGAGTAAAGATTAGGTAGCTTAAGCATGATTGTTTGTAGTTAAAGTGATTAACTACCCGCCTGGCACTTAGTTAAGGTGTTTTATTCCCTCCCTAACTTCAGGGGAAAATCCCTACCTGGGGAAACAACCTTTCTCATAGAGGTGACCTTGGTTAAAACACAGTGCCAAGAAGGTGAGCAAACATATTAAGAACAGTATGCCATATATGCCAGGTCCCTTGAAACAGCAAGGATGGACCGGCTCCCGGCATCAAATATTGATAGAGTGTCTACCATGTTCTAGACACTCATCATTGACCTTGAATTGAAGTGAATTAAGAAAGGTCAACAGGTGCAAAGCTAACAATCAAGTCCTTGAGCCACAGTGCTCTATATGGGCCATTTTAGAAATATACTTTTAAAACTTTTATATCTTTTTACTTTCCCTAAATATATACATATGTAATTTATCCCATTTTTAAAGAATTAGGAAGTGATTATATAGTTAGAAGTTATTCTAAAAAATGCAAGAATATGACCAATCTCATTTTAAGACTTAATTCATAATATATATTTAGCTATATATATGCTAAATTAGCTAAAAAAGAAGGCACAAGGCAACAAACAATAGTTTTATTATTTGAATCTTAATAAAAAATGAAACTAAAATAGAAACTGCATTCAATGATGGATAATGAAGATGTTATCCTAAACTGTTACATTTTTACTGTGAGTTTTTAAACTAAACAACAACCTTCATTACCTATAAGATAATAACCTTTCAAAATCTTCAGTACGGCTAATGCAGTTGCTTCTTGCAATCTACTTGTTTGGGCTACTGTATAGGAACCATGTATCATGTGTCATTTGTTTTCAAGTTTTTCTGTACTATAAAAAGCACAAGTGCATCACACCAATAAACACAAAACTGCTTTGCTCCAGTGTGCTAATGAAACCCATCAGCTATCCTAAAAAAAGTGGTCTTCCTTCCTATAAGGTACTGTATAAGGCAATACTTGTCCACCTCTCAGAGAATAATCAACAGCAGAGAGTCTTCAAAAAAAACACCTTTCTTTGTGCTACTGCTGCAGAGCTATTACCATGTGAAAATACCAAGACCACATGGGTATTTTGGCAGTTTAGGTAAAAATAAAATAAGATTATATTTTTCCCCAAAGGATCACGCTTCTTTTCTTTTGGAAGTGTCTAGCTTTTTAAATAAGGGCAATTTGTGGGT